TTTTTTCTTGGTTATTTACTAAGTTAGGCTACTCTTAGAAATCTCAAACCGCAGTAGGAAAAAACCTTTTTACTTTGGATAGGGGTAATAACATAAATTTTGAAGTCTAGAGCTGGATTCTTTGCGAGGACTTAATATTTTTTTTCTATATCCCACGTTCGTGACAAGACAAGAAATGTCTTTCATTCTCTAACAACTGCGATTATTTGCATATTGCTCGGACGAAAAAAACTCAGCTGAGATGCGCTGTCTCTTTGAAATAAAAATAAAAAAGTGTTAGATTTAAATTATTTTGAACATTTTATTCAACATTCTTTATTAATCTTCCATAATATTTTTAAAATGGAGAGTCCTCTGGTCTCTGATGTCCACCTTAAGTCGTTCTCAGGATCTTATTTCTCTCTCCTCAAAGAGAACACACCAGTGCGACAAACCATTTTCCCTCATAAGTTTAGAGAAATACTTTGAAGTAAAAAGCCAATTCTATACTCAAATATGTTCATTGTGTCTCCAAGTTCGTACTAAATTCTTGATGAAGAGTGCGTGTCGTTTGACTTTTTCGTCAAACTTTGTATGAAGCTGTTTGTCATTTCCTGACAGAAGCGACTTTTTATTTGTAACCAAGTAAGACGTGTCGCAAAGTTTTATTATTTTCTGTTGGGTTCAGTTGTACGGTAGCCTCGCTTGATACGATACAAATTCTCTTGTGCGCTTTTCTCGGCTTCATATTTCTGTAATTCTTCTTGTAGTTTGGAGACTTTCCCTTTAAGTTCATCATTTTGATCGCGAAGCAACTCGAGAAATCTGTCTTTCCTATCCACAGCCATTTTCAACCTCTCTGTTTCGGCCGAACATGATGCAGAACTGTTCGAGTAAAGAATGAAAATAAGCACGGACCACACGGTGGCAATGCCTAAAATAGCGTAATTGAAACGACTAGTGCTAACCATGTTGTAAAAAACTACAATGAGTTGTAAAAAACTGATAAATTTTCTTTCAGTGAAAACTGTTATTTTGTTGATTAAACCCAGCTGGATGACGTTGGGCCGTAAATAAGCCAATGAGATTCACTACGCTATCATGTGTTTTTAATAACAGCTGTTCACTCGAAGTTTTTCTTGTATACGGAGCGATGATTCAGTAACTTAATTTATTCGCAGCTATTACAGAAAAAATTGCCGGTTTGGCCGGGTGACCATCATGAAGGTATGAATCATCTTGAAACTTGTGTCACTTGAATCTAGAAGAAAAAAAGATGCAAACAGAAAATAAGCCGTGTTGACATCAGACTTGAAAGAACACTCCTTCATAAAATCATCTATAATTAAGGAAAATAATGATCCATAGCAACGGTCTTTTCTATAAACTGCATATAGTTGACTTTTGCTTGAGCTAACATGTAAATTCTGATTTTAAATTTCTCGCGAATCATTGGATAATCATATCGTAAAAGGGCGAAAAAAATTAACAACTTGACTTACACCATAGGTAATTAAACTAATATTCAGCGGGTAAACGATGAATGAAGAAGCAAACTTTATTGCATAATTATCATGAAAAAACATGTTGTTTAATTTTCTGTAATATGGTGAAGTCCACCTGTTCTGGAGGTATTTTAGTTCAATTTTTTTTAACTGAATATCTTAGAGGACGAAAAGTCATCGGGTTGCGCAAATATAAATACTTATTGCTCATAATTCTGGCTGATAACTCGCCGTATGTCACGGCTGGATAATGGCTTAATAAAATAAATTCTCTTTTATTTGATGAATTTCATGAAACAGGCTAAGGTAATTTTAGGCGAGATACAAAATAAACGGAGCGAGTAATCGTAAGGAAATGCCTTTTTATTCTATTAAATTCGCGTTCTTCAATAACAAAGATAAATGCAGACATAAAAACGGATTTTGGCGCAAAATGGTAAATCGAAAAACTGAAAAAACGACGGCGAATCCCTTGTTTTTTCCTTCTGCCAGAGTGAAGTGGGTATCTTGTGATATCAAAACAGTAGGATTGAAAATTTTTTTACTCAAGGAGTAATTGTGGTTAGTTGACCACTGTTTCAATAAACATGAAGAGAAAAAAAAATATATTCTTATCCTTCCGACAAAACTGCAGATGAATTTAATATCTGAATTTTCGAGAGGATTCTATCTATAGTTTTGAATTTTACCGTTCAGGATGGCTACATGTATCACCAAAAACAGCTATCGGCTTTTAAGTTGAAAGCAATAAATAAACCGTCAGCAAGCAGTTTTTCGCTAAGTAATTGTGGGTAGGGATATATTTGGTAAAATATGTAAATCTGTTACGGAGTGGATGTGTTTATGAGCTTTGGTCAAACAGTGAAGTTGGAAAATCATATCTTACCGCTTGAGTTCGCTTTTTGAATTTACCCATATAATCACTGCGGAAAACTGACATGACATGCAACATTAACAAAAGCGAATAAATTTTAACAGCTTGTACATCGATTGATTTTAGAGTGAAGTGATCAAAAATATGATAGCATTGTGAATTCATCGGCAAAGCTCGCGTATAAAGCATCAAACCGAAATTGAAAACCATAATCGAGTGCAATATAAAAAATTAGAAATTGTCTCAGGAAAATTTTTAAAGTTATTACCGTTATTCAGTACCTAAAATGTATCCTTTTTTTAAAACCGTTCCTTGTCCTCATCCAGTATTCACTATCCAAGATGTAGTGTTCTGCAGTTCAAATGGACGATAGTTTTAATAATGGATCTTTTGAGTAAATAGATATCGTTGCCCTCCGACTGTTCGCTGTGCATATTGATGAATTTTTGAAGTGGGGGCGAATGATGAATAATTATGTAATAATTAGAGTTCGATACCATTTGCCGAGGACAAATTTTAAGATTTCGGCTGTATAGCATAGTTTACCGACATACAGGTTTCTCCAGTTAGAAAAATTTCTTACTTTATCAGGAACTCTAAGAGTTTTTATTATTGGTAATTCGACGTTCAAACGATTTTAACCTCTTGAATGCTCATTAAAAAAGTTATTCTGCTGGTCAGCAGATTCTATTCGCGAAGTATAAAGAAAAAAACTGACAGCACATGTACTAGAAAGACTGATGCAGCTGCAGTAATAGTACTAGTAGTGGACTTAATTTCTCCATGTGATAAAATTTTCATATCTAATACTACAAAGTAAAACATAAGGTAGCAAAAAGCTCAAAATAGTAAAAACATCCACAAAAATCCAAATTTGCAACGCGATCTCATGTTCAATAATTACACTATTTACATAAGAATCGATTTAAAACGATTTGTATAAACTTTGAGGCGATGTCTTCATTTGTTTCCTAAGTTATATTTCGTTTCTTTTCTCTTAGAGAATAAAATCTAACTTCGCTATTTTATTGAATATGTTATTGTCCAGTATTTTCTAGAAGTTCAAGTACGTTAGTGGCTCTAAATACATGTCTGCGCTTGCAGCATCTTTTAAGTTCTGAATCACGTTAACGGATTGGCTCTAAGAGAGCCACTCACTGAAAGAGCGTAAGTGACTTTAAGAAGATCTAAAATGGCGAAAAAATGCTCCATCTCTGTGCTTTTTATCGCCCTTAATTGGAGTACTGAGTTCTAGAGTGAATGATGGCTCCATCTGAAAATGATTTCCTTTGTTTTTTTTTTTGTCTTCATCGTCAATGACTTGCTCTACTTCGCAGCTATTTGGTTAATATTGTCACGCAACGCGGAGAGCGCGCGTTGAGATTTCACTACGATCGTCGTTTTTAGGCTACCTACGCTCATGTTATCGTAAAAAAACAAACAATAAAAAAAAAAAAAACCTCATTTTTTCGAAAATTAATAAATGGAAACAAGCACTCTCTCGAACAAGAAACTCAGACACTAGGTTGTTGGGTTGTTAGACACTAGCGGAAGATCATCGGCGTGTTACTTTGATGTGTTCTTGAGGTACTTAGCGTCCACCGTACCGCTCTCCATCCAGGACCGTCAACAAAACCTGACATAATTCTGAGGCTGGGTAAACGCGATACAATAGATCAGCATTCCGTCCATGGGGGAAGAAATATTACTGGAGCAATTGTAGAACAAAGACTGCATACGCTTTATAAACACCGTCATGATTTACTGACCTGTATGTTTGTTTGTAAATCCGGTAAGACATTAATTGGGTTCTGACAACCAGAAAACGTACTTGTTAGCCATTATAAAGTTCGCACATGAGTAGTCTTTTGACCACTTTGTTTACTCTTGGTCTTGTAGTCCCTTCCTGCAGCTTTAAACCGAAACAAACTTCAGCCGTATGCGCCGTACGTTGATATTTTAGTCTGACATTCAGCACACCAAGAAGACACCAACGTGACGAGCTTTCCTTTTTTTTCAGACTACAAAACAATTTCGAATCCTCATGAAAATCCAAGAGTTCATAGCACGCTAAAAATGTTGTTTTTAAATGAAGGAGAGAATTCGAAGGAATGTTTAGGCTCTAATAGGCTTCGCCCTTTCACCTAGCAATTATATCCTCATTTACTTCCTCAGGGCGTTCCAGACTATTCTAGATCTGTTAATGCTAGCTATATATATAGATATAAGTTCTGTCTGACGAGCGCTTAGGCGCGAAACTCAGAGTAACAGAGAATCGATGCGTCCTCTTTGACTCTTTCACTTGAGCACTGTTCCACGCGAAAATCGAGTTGCAGACTCCCTATATATATATATGTACCCGGGGATATGCAAGCTCTTTCGGAGAGGAGAGATTGTGGTTGTTATTGAATTAGAGATACAGCAAAAGGGAAATTTTGCCCGGCACTGTCAGAGAAGTCCAGTCTCTCTTTTAGCATTAGTTGGGGCTCGTCACACAACACACAGTAAGAGGAAGTATTGCGTGACAGAGGACTAATCCCGGAACGCTTTATTTACATCAACTCCGTGACGATTGCATGTCAACAGCCAATCAAAAGTCGCTAACCCTTGGCGGTGCTGCTCCTTCTAAATACAAATTTAAAGAAGGTTCCTCGGAAAACAAAAAGTTCCGTCGGATTTTGAGGTGTGTGCTCAGAGCGTCGTTGAAGATTGTCAAATTAATATGGCTGGGTCAGGGGGAGCAGCAGCGGCTGGGGCTTTGGATCATGCAGCGAGAACCATGGCAAAAGTAGTGATGGAGATTGCGAACTCGCCCGACTTCGATCGTGAACAAATTCGCGGTGAAAAGCTGACGCTTTCGCAAGCGTACTGCTTGTTATGGCAAAATTCTGAAGATGGCAATGTGGGAGGAAGGAGATTTGGCTTCGAGAGTAACAGTGGAGCGACTGCAGCAGTGATTGTGGATTTGATTGCACTCGGTAAAGTGGAAATTGAAATCGAACCTAACACAACTATGGGCGTGAAAAACGACCATTACCGTCTGAAGGTAATGTAAGCTAGCCTTTGATAACAACTGTTTCAAGGTTAATTGCACGGCGGCAAATTCATCGATTTCTCGGGACTAGTATTCTCCTTCCAAAACCATGTTACTCGACAATGTTTGTTATAAAACAGGTGCATTGGTTTATGTGATCTGAAGATATACATAACGCGCTCGACTGGCCACACACGATAAAAGCGAAAAACCGTCTCGGAGTTATAAACTTATTGCATTGGGATCGTTTACGATCCTCACAGCTAGCGCTACCTTATGTGTAACGCAACAAGGTTGTACATTTGAAAAACTTTACGTACTTTTTATAAATTTATTTGCTTTATTTTATGTACTTTTTACCTACTTTTTATCATTGTTTTTATTTGCTCCATACTTAAATTACTGCTGTTTAAGCCGGAAATAAGCTGTCGTTTACTTTGTCTGAACGGCGAGTTTCGCAGACTTGACGCAATGTGTCTTACTTGAGGAGTGAGTTGCCTACCTCAAACCGTAGAGCAGTTGTGTTCAGACTGTTTGAACCTCTTTTAAATTTAGGGTAGAGAAGAAAGTTTTCGTGGAATTGTTTACCAGCTGGTGCGATTGAATACATCACCTAGCAATGTTAAGTGCAAACGGCCAATCACGAGGCGAAGATTTTTATATGTAAATGTAGCAGTTTGGAAGCTCCAGGGGGCGCCAATTTCTTTTCAAAATTAATCGAAAATTTGAATATTTTTGAAGGGTGTTGATCTACTGAGTGATTTTAAGATTGATAAAGCTAGGTGACAGCTGGTGAAGCTAGGTGAACTGTATTGAAATATTTTGTTGGAGATGTTTTTTCAACAGGTGAATCATCTTGTGCTCAAATATAAAAGAAATTTACAAACCTATTCTAGGTAGTGATTTTTGTCAACCTATAGGGGTGTGTGTTCAGAAGGTTTTGTTGCATGTCTGCACTGAATGTCACAACATTCACATTGTTAAGTTATAGCAGGCATAACTTATCACTTCATCCTGTGAAATCATTGAAGGAAATGCCTTTCTTGCTAAAGGAACTGACACCTCCACATAATGAAACACTGATTACCATATCATTATGAAATGAAATAAATTTCATGTGATCTGCAGATTAAAATCAAGCAAAAGATTCATTCTTGCAGGTGGACTGCAATTCTAGCAACATGTGCCCTCACATGTCAGTCAGTAGTAGCACCTAACTACAAGAAGTTTGACTCCTGTCAAGGCCTCTATACTTCCAGGGTTTTTTTCTGCAATTTCCAAAATTGCATTCCACCTACAGGGATCATTTCTTTGCTTCAAAAACCATACCCTAACCCCCTACTTACTGACCTGGAATTTGTTATGGACTTACAGCAGTAAATTTTTTGCAGCATCTCATGTTTCTGCATTATTTCTCCACAAGAGCTTATTTTTTTGGATAAAGGTCCATCAAACCTTCAAAATTTAAGAAGAAACTAATTAGATCAACAGGACTTACCCTGAACCAAATGTGCTTTCAGGTGGTTGATGAAAAACCAACTGGTACATATCTTGATGAGGCTCTCTTTAATGGGATCTTGAAACATCATGAAAAACACCCAGACAAGCCAGAGAAAGTGAAGTCTGTGATTTTTGATGATATAAGTCAACTTAGATCAAAGAATTACTGCTCTACCATTACACTGGGCAGTTTAGTGGAGTTGGGAATTCTTGAAATGAAAGAAAAGATGATGGGCCGTAAATACCCAACAGTAAACAAAGGTAATTATTAACCCTTTACACCCAAAAATAAGTGTTCTCCAAACTCTTC